GTGATATGTTTAACATCTTTTTAAATAATTATTTCAATGGGAAATTTTTAATTTTCGAATATTAATTACATTGACGAGAATATTTTTAGTACTGGGGAAACCACTTAAAAAAAACGCGTCAATTATAGTACCTCCTGGGTGACGTGGAAATCTATTACTAAAAATATTCTCGTTAATGTAATTAATATTCGAAAATTAAAAATTTCTCATTGAAATAATTATTTAAAAAGATGTTAAACATATCACGTTTTAGAAACTGACATTTGGCAGTCAAGGGGCACGCAACGGCGTCGGATTACCGATATGTCGTACCTGAAGCTGAGCGTCGCGCGCTTGGTTACGGTTGTTTAATGACTGGAGTAGGGGGTGATAGGCGGTGCCTCGCGAAAATCGGCCGAAATGAGCAGTTCGTGGACAGCTCTGGTATAAATGAAAAGAAAAAGGGAGTAAATAATCAGGGCATAGATGAACAGTATGTATATTGGGTAGCGAGAGAAGCCGTGCCGAGAGCAATGACACTAGAAGAAATAGATTTGGAATCAGGAAAAGATCAAGTTTTAGGAAACGTAAGGGAGGCAATAAAGACGGGAGATTGGAAGAAGTTAGAAAAATCCAGATTTAGGATAATGAGGGACGAATTCTGTTGCTATAATAACATTGTTTTAAGGGGAACGCGAATAGTCATTCCGGAAGCATTGAAGCGAATAACACTTCAGATAGCGCACGAGGGTCATCCCGGAATTGTGGCAATGAAAAACAGATTAAGAAGCAAGGTCTGGTGGGATGGGATAGACAGGGATGCGGAAAGAACAGTAAAGGCGTGTAAAGGATGTCAATTGGTACAGGACACTGTATCGCGACCACCGGTAAAGCGAAACGAATTGCCCACAGGTCCGTGGGAATCGATTGCGTTAGACTTAATGGGCCCGATGCCAACAGGGGAAAACATCCTAGTTGTAACGGATTATTACAGTAGATACTTTGAGGTACAAATTTTAAAAAGTACGACGACGGACAAGATAATAGAGGTCCTTTTTGAAATATTTGCGAGGCACGGATTTCCAAGCACGGTAGTTTGCGACAACGGACCTCAATTTGCGAATGAGCGATTTAGGGAATGGCTAAGTATTAACGGGATTAGGATCGCGCATACGGCACCGTACTGGCCTCAGGCAAACGGCGAGGTAGAAAGGCAGAATAGAAGCCTTCTAAAAAGGTTGAAAATTGCGCACGCGGAAGACAGAAACTGGCGAGAAGAAATTCAAAAATTTTTATTAATGTACAGATCCACACCGCATTCAGTTACGGGAGTCACGCCAGCGGAACTACTATTTAAAAGAAAATTAAGGACTAAATTACCGGAAATAGAGCAAAGGGAAAATCTAGACGAAGAAGTGAGGGAAAAAGATGCCTGGGAAAAGCTAAAGGGTAAGGACTATTATGATAGGAAAAACAGGGTTAAAGAAAGTGATTTAGACATTGGCGATAGGGTATTAGTTAGGGGGGAAAAGAAAAATAAGCTTAGTACAGAATTTAATCCGGAAAGATTTGAAATAATGGAGCGAAAGGGAAATACAGTAACAGTAAAATCTAAAGATGGAAAGCTGTATAAAAGAAATTTGACACAAGTAAAGAAGTTTATTGATATGGATTCAGAAGAAGAGTCAGAAGCAGAAGGAGAGGAAAACGAAAGCGCACAAGAAGAAAAGGAAAATTTAGAAGTAGGCGGGGGGAAGGATAGACCTAAGAGAAATCGAAAGGCACCAGAGCGATATGGGGTGTATAGCATTTGGAAATAAGTATTCAAATTTAGCATTAAGAGATTTTGTATAAGAAGTAAGGGATTTATGTTTTCAATGTATGATTGCGAGTTAGCATGTAAGTATTAGTGTTAAGATTTTGTATACGCGTTTAAAGCAAAAGAACATTCATTAAAGAGGAAAGAGATGTAGTGTATCCACGCACAGGCGCGATACTAACTGGCGCTCGGCGACAGAGAGGGCGCGCAGATAGCGAGGCTAGGCAGATGACGACAAGCGTACAGAGAGAGCCGGTGTATGTGCACAGAGTGGAAGCCGAGAATAAAGGATACGCTAACACTCAGAGACTGTACGATTCATTCCTCACCCAAATACGCTACAGTGACGATGGGGTTTTTTAATAAAGTTTTGCTCACCCACGCACCCACCCACGCATTCACACTGTTTGGAACTCCTCATGCAATTTTGGACCGATCTTCTTGCAACCGGGCTTAAAATTTTCCAAATTTTTCGGGGGAGCTGCTAAGGAGGTTTTTTGGGAGGATTGTGACGATAGGGTTTTTTTTTAATTGTTGCCCACCCACGCACCCACCCACGCA